AATGTTTCTGAACTAAAATTACAAAAGAAATTGTATGATTTGGACTGTTCCTGAGGCCAGTCAACACCCAGGGATTGAACGCGCGTCTCCTGAATTGACTGGCAGGCAGATTCTTTATCACTGAGCCACCAGGGAAGCCCTGAATTAATACAGAGATTTCACCCAAAGGCAAAACATTGGAAGATAGGTAGGACTTACTTCATGCTTTCTGATACCAGCTGATCACTTCCCTTCCTTTCTCTCAAAAATATTTTGCATATTTATTCACAAATGGAAATTAATACTGGGTTTGCAGAAGAGAGACCCTGAATATCCTGAAAGCTAGACAATTGATTTTTTTTTTAAAAAAAACAGAGTCCTTTCTTCAAATGAAATCTTGCTCAGAGCCCTAATACTTGGAAAACAGACAAAAGTCAAACTTCATTGTATTAAGGACAGATATGTTTCTGGAGATCTACTGATATGGCCATTTCTTTACATATGTGAATACTCTGAGGCACCTAAGTTTTCATGAAACAATTTAATAATTACCAATCTATATCACACCCCACCCTCATCTTTTTTAATAAAGCCCTCTTGATGCTTGAGGCGGTGAGGGAGGAAGCTGCCTAATTTAATGTTGCAGGCCTGAGACAAAGGTGACCTAGGAGAAAGTGAGAGGTGATGGGGCGTTGTTTTGGTCCAAGGATACAGATACAGAATGCAAGATTTGAACTGAATTGAAATGAGGGATGATTCCAGTTTAATGTAATTATCAATACATCTGTGTGACACTTTTGAAACTTTGACAAACCTTTCAAATACACTAGTTAGCTTAGTTCAGTAAGTATTGCCTGGATACAAATTATATAGTATTTGATCTAATAGAATCTGTGTATTGATTATGTAAACACAATCATTGTTTGTGTAAACAAAAACGTATAACACATTTTCTATAAGTAAGCCTTTCAAGTAATGCCTTCAACCACTCTGTGAAGGAAGCATAGCTGAAAAATGTATGGTACAAAAATACTAAGTAGCATGGCCATGGCTTCATAGAATGTCAGCAGTAAAACTGAGATTTGAACCTAAGTCTGTCTCACTCCAATACCCATGTTCATTCCACTCTAAACTCAAGGAACTATCAAACTGCAAAGATGAGAAATCTAGGCTCAGCCTTCAATTATTTAAAATTCTTTGTCGTAATTGTTACATAGGTAAAAAGCTAGCACTTGCGAGATGCAACAGGAGACCAAGAACATTTAAAGAAAAATTTTATTTCAAATAAGCAACCAGGAAATCCGCTGTGGGCCAGAGCACTGAGGACTGGGCAGGTGTTTGAAAGGCAGCAGAGCAGAGATGATGCTCTTCATGTAACATTCAAGAAAACTGAGGCTCACACAACTGAGGGGCATTTTCAAGGCGATGGAGCTGGTTAGCTGTAACATCAGAGGTACAGGGAAGGTCTTTTTAGAAATCAAAGAGAAACTAAAAGGAAAATATGAAACAAAGGAATATCAGAGTAAGCATGAGAGAAACCAGAACTTCTGTGCAGAAATAGTAAAAGAAATAGAAACCCTAAATGACTATGGAGTCAATGATATTTTTTCTCTCTGCTTTAGAGGCAAGTGACAGCATCTAACTTCCATCTAAGCTCCTTTCTTCTTTTTGAGTCAGCTCCATACTGTCTGTTATTTAAGATCTAGGTTATGTTAACTGTCAGTCTCTTAGAAACTATACCTACATTTCTGCATCTTTAAGAAGAAACGTGTACATTTTCATATTAAATGTCACACACGGAATATCACTGAGAATCTACTTCATGCTGCTGAGTTTACCTTCTAGTACTCACCTGGCTGTCAGGTTATCAATCATGGTGTTAAGGTCTTTGGATATTAGGGGTGTGCTTGTGGGTCCATGTGCAGGATAATCCATATGACAGCTTATTTACAATTTGGAGTTTGAATAATTCATACCTTTGTTTACCTCCATTTTTTTCACTGCTTAGGAATTTTTATTTTCTCCACTTCCTTCTCCTTCTGTCTTACTTGAGGGAACATATTCAAAATTAAGCATATTCAAAAGTGTCACCTGTGGGTGAAATCTTAACTCTCAGTCAGTATTAGATTTATTAAATTTCACTTCCTTTCTACTCACTAGTTGGGAGTATATAAACCGACTCTGGATTCTTTCCCCAAAAGAAATAAAGAAAATGAATTTACTCTTTTGATGTAAAGATATTGGATTTTCAGATGTTCTTCTAATTATAGACAGATTTCCTGGACGGGCCCATGAGGAACATTGTAAATTTTCATAGCCCCCTCTTATTTCCACCTCCATCAGGTTAACTTTCTTACTCATTGCACCTGCTCTGCTTAGGCCATTGCGTCTGTTCTCATGGATTTTTTTCACCCTATGATGAGGATTTCTGTTTCTAATCTTCTGGCCTGTTTCTCTCCCATAAGTTTAAGGTTTATTCAACTGTGTGCTATACTTTTGATATATCCCATTGGTACCTCAAACTTAACATGCTAAGACAGAACTCATCATCTCTCCTTTCTTTCCAAGCCAGATATTCCAACTGTATTCATTGGTTTCATTAATGGAATCATCAACCACTGAGTTCATTAAGGTTGGAAACTTGAAGTCATCCTCGCCTCTACTATTCCTTCTTCTTCCATCAGTAACATAAACAATATCTGATTTAACCTTTTCACTAATTATTAAAATTGTCTCCATCTTCTCCACCCCCACTTCTATCATCCTGCTGCCTTATCTGGACTTATACAACCTCATAAATAACTTTGTCCATAAACCAATAAGCTATAAATCCTTCCTCCATACAACTTTCAGATTTATCAATGTAAGACATATTCCGGGTCAAACTCATGATTCAAATCCTTTAATACTGTAGAGATGTCTACATTAACCTATGTATGTGATAAAAAATTGTATAGAAATGAATAGACACAAAAGAAAGTACAATAATATTAGAATTTCTGAATAAGATCATATCAATGTCAATATTCTAGTTGTGATATTATATGGCAGTTTTGTAAGATGTTACTTCCCATTGGGGAAAATTGGGTAACTGGTACATGGATGCTGCTGCTGCTGCTGCTGCTAAGTCGCTTCAGTCGTGTCTGACTCTGTGCGGCCCCGTAGACGGCAGCCCACCAGGCTCCCCTGTCCCTGGGACTCTCCAGGCAAGAACACTGGAGTGGGTTGCCATTTCCTTCTCCAACGCATGAAAGTGAAAAGTGAAAGTGAAGTCGCTCAGTCATGTCTGACTCTTCACAACCCCATGGACTGCCGCCCACCAGGCTCCTCCATCCATGGGATTTTCCAGGCAAGAGTACTGGAGTGGGGTGCCACTGCCTTCTCCGGGTACATGGATGTGCTCTTTATTTTTTATTATAACTGTATGTGAATCTATAATTATTTCAAAATATTAAGTTTGCTTAAAAATATCTTACAAAATTCTTCAACACTCACCAGAAGAATTTAAGCTTTTAAAACAGCATGTCGCTCTCCACCTTTATCTCCTGGCATTCTCGCCCCAAAATTTTTACACTAGGCTAATAGAATCACCCCTGGAGAAGGAAATGGCAACCCACTCCAGTGTTCTTGCCTGGAAAATCCCATGGACTGAGGAGGCTGGTGGGCTACAATCCATGGGGTCGCAAAAATCAGACATGACTGAGCGACTTACTTTCACTTTCAATAGCATCACAGACTGCTAACTCTGTAACTTTACTCCTTATCTGGCCTGACTAATTTATTCTCATCATTTAAGGCTTTTTCCTTGATCTATCAGATGAGATGGTTTATGTCATCATTGTACATTTACAGTGTTATGTGCATTTTTATCACATTTATTAGAGATTTTCCCCCCTGTTTTAACTTCTTTACCAGGACCTTTTAGTGGGTGGAAGTCTTATTTACTTTTATTTCCAGTGCCCATTAATTTCCTGACAAATAAGAGATGTTCTCTGTATATCTGACTTTAGTAAATGAATGTGTGTCTCTATAAAGCTTGAAAACCATCAGCAAATCTAATGTAACTAGACTTAAAGCGTTCATTTGCAAATTTAAGATACTTGACTATCCCACTATTTCTTTAACTCTTTATAATACTAACAGTGATGATTAAGAGCTTAGCTAAATTCATCCTAGAGTAAAATTAATTTACTGATAATCACAATGAATCACATACGTTTAAGGTGAGATATGCAGATAGAATGCAGATTTGGAGACTATATCACCTGAGAAAGCTGATGTTTTCCTTCACATGTATAAGGGTCAAGTTTTCTTTCTTTTTTTTTTTAAGTAAAAGAAAACTTGAGGACCCTATAACAAAATGAAGCAAATAGAAATACCATTTATTTGTGGTGTATTCAGATGTTTGCTTATCCCTTAGTCTGATATAGAATTCTACACTCCAATTAAAAACCACCCACTCATACACTAAGATATGTAACTGGTGATTAAAGAAAAATCAAATTCAAAAGTTTGAATTTATTGTCCCTGGGCCTGATGCTAAGATGGTAGTTATGAAAGGGATGACTATGCTGAGGGTAAAATTTAAGATTTCTAAACTCATTTTTATTTTCTGATTTTGCTTTTTACTTGCTGGAGGCTGAATGGGCAGATAATCAATTGAGACATTTGTGAGATGGGTTTAATAATACGTCAGATTCACTGTTAGACTTAGTGAGGGAATGTTTATTTTTGAAATCTGCAGAATGTAGATTTTGGATAGTGGAGGTGCAGAGTGTAACTTTTCTAGTTAAGAAGTAAAGCTTTGATAGAAGGCTTGATTGCCTGATTTTAATCACAAAATGGGATCCTTGCCACTGCCTAAAGAGATACCAGTTGCTTAACTCATAAAATTTTGCTGTGTATACCTGCATGTTTTTGAAGATTCATTCACTCAAGTTTTTGATTGACTATGCTTTAATTTTAATATTCTGTCTCATTAACATAGAAACTAACTCTAGTTTCATTTTTATCCTTTTAAGGTTTGTAGAAACCCCAGCCCATTTCTCTTGGAAAGAAAGTTATTACCGATCCACTATGTCCCAGAGCACACAGACAAGTGAATTCCTCAGTCCAGAGGTTTTCCAGCACATCTGGGATTTTCTGGAACAGTAAGTAGCAAATAAGCAAAAAAGCTGTTTTACATGAACTGTTATAAATAGGTAGTGATGGATAGTCGAAGTACTGCTTTTGAAGGCATGTTTTTAGAATCAATAAAAATCAGGTGATATTATTGGGAAAAAATTATTCTCTCCAATAGTATCTCTGTGTTCAAAATTCAGCACAGATTTATTCAGTTTTCAACAGGAGAAAATCATTATTGTTCCAAGGTGGTATAATTTTGGAGGATCAGAAGGACTCTCCTACCTAACCCAAAATAACTTCCCCAGTGACTCTGATACTCAAATTCATTTCTTTGGGTTAAAGACTTATATACTTTTATATTGTAAATAATCACTGAGAAAGTAAAACACTAAATTTTATTGTTCATTATACCTTGCTAGGAAGAGGATAATTATCTCCTTAAGATTAGGTTGGGACACCTAAGTAAATTAAGGGAAAGATGAAACAATATCAGAGTATTGGGGACCCATACAATTAGGATATATTTCTGACTCGTTCCTTCTATTCTGTGTTCCACCTAGTGATTCTTTGATGAGGGCAGTGATTTTTACTTTACAAATGGAGCTTAGATTTGGAATACCAGAGGTTTCATATCTGGTAAGTATTTGAGCCAGAATTCATGCTGAGGGTTTCTTACTCCAACCAATGAGCCTTGCCAACTTTAAAGCAAAAAGAGCTCATTGTTACCAACCGATGTGTGTGTTTGTCCCTTTCCACACCTAACACACTTTTGCTTTCCTTTATGGCAGACCCATCTGTTCAGTTCAGCCCATTGACTTGAACTTTGTGGATGAACCATCAGAAAATGGTGCTACAAACAAAATCGAAATTAGCATGGACTGCATTCGCATGCAGGACTCAGACCTGAGTGACCCCATGTGGGTGAGTGGCATGGCTTCCCCTTTAAATCTGTGGGTCTTGCTACCCACTTCTCTGTTATACCTCTTCCCTGGCACTTAAAAATCAGGTGACTCTGAATGGTCAAGGCTGTTGGAAAGACAGTCATCGTGGTCAGCAGAGAAATAATTAAGAGCTGTGGATTCTGAGTCTGCCTCAACTCTGCATAATGTGTATGCTTCCATTGGTGTGGAGAAGCGGGGTGGAAGTAATTCCTTGCATTCTTTATCTGAATTGCTCCTCCCAGTGTTTCACAGCTGGTGGAGACAGAACCAAAGTCAAATCCTGGATTGTATCCAAAGCACTTTCTTCTATGGCAAACTGCCTTTCTTATATAACTATCCTTTTTAAATGATGAAGGATGAAGTAAATTCTACACAAATATACAGATTCAAGTACCTGGTAGTAGAGTAAGAGGAAAGAAGCTAATATCTAAAATAGGCTCTCTCTCTCTCTTTTTTTTTTTAACTTCACCACTGGGTCACTCATGACCTTAGACCTCAGTTATAAAATGGTAAGAACTTAGATGTACACACCTCCCAGGCAGCTAAGAAGTATACAGGTTAAGGATAGTAAAACATTTTACTGAGGTGCTTAGGTGAACTTTCTTGTATTTGTGCAATCCATCATGCTAACTGATGTGTTTTCTTTTCTTTTTTTTAATCATTCATTCATCCCACAAGCCCTACTGCTTTTTCTGTATGAACTCAAACAAAAATCTGTAGAAAAATAGAAACTAAAAGAGCTAGAAAGAGGGTGGGGTGTCATAGAGTGTCTGCTGATGTGATTAAACAGAGTGCTTTATAATGTACCATGCCTTTCTTTTTTGGAGGTGGGGGCGATTACCAGGTAACTTCACTTGAAGGAATGGTACAGATGAAAGATGTTTTGGTACACCCTTGTCTTTCTGATTCAATGTAAGATTTTACTGGAATTCTCACTGTATGCTTTTTGATATAGACTGTATTTTTAATATTGGGAGAAGAGGAGATGGGGGAAAAAGGAGAGGAAATGACCAAAAATAGAAAGTTGTAATTTTACAAATACACTGATATTTTGTCACCAAATTGATAAATGAAAAATACACTTCTTCACTGACCCATGCCATCTTCGTATGGGTTCAGTTCTCAATTATCCTTGAGATAGTGAAAAGAAACTGATAGGTAAATCCAAGGTTAAGTAATTCAAAGCCTGGGAATGTATGATAATTAAGCATAAATATTTATAAATATATAAATTCTGATTTGACAGTGACTTAGAAATTAGGATAGTCCCCATTCATTTAATAATATCACCTCTTAAGCTGATAGGTTTGCCTAGGTTGATGCCCTGTGTATTCTTACATACTCTCCAGGCAGGGATTTTCTGTTTCTCATAAAAGCAAGTCAAAGTTATTTAATTTAAAATGCAGAATGAAGTATTTTCATTTACAGTTCCTATTATTTTTATCTTCTCACATACTGAAGCACATGGTTTTTTAATGTGCCATGCTGTTTCTCCTTTGCTATTAGACATTTTCTCCTTGAGAACATCTCATTTTTTCTACCTCGTATCTAGCCATTTCCTATCTATCCCTCAACATCAAGCTTGCCTTACCTTCTCTAGGAAAACATTCCATATCACTGTTCTCTACCAGTCTGAATTAGAGATCATTCCACAGAAGCAATCTAGGTATAATTTTAGTCATAAGGCTTATTATATAATATTAATATTATCTATTATAATATTTCCATATCTCTAAAGGGGACTAGTGTCATGTTTTGTCATGGACATTATTATTATTATTATTTTTTTTGCCATGTTTTGCCCATAGTATGCCCTCAGGAGTTTTTAAAGTCATAAAAAATGAGACTTGGAAGTTATCTAAAAAATTAAAGTGTTCTCTTTAAGATAGCCCTGTCCAAAAGATCTTTTTTTTTTTTTCCCAATGGCTAGAATGTCCTATATCTCTATTGTTCAACACAGTAGCCATTAGACATGTGAATCCTTTGGGCACATGAAATATGGCTAGTGCAAATGAGGAACTTAATTGTAACTTTAGTTAATTTAAATTTAAATTGTTTTGTGCAGCTAGTTGGTAGTGTATTGGATAGCAAAGTTCTAGAAAACCACCAATCAGGGAACCATTCTCTGCTTCAACATTCACAGCAGCAAAGCTTTCAGTCGTGTCCTTTCTTGTATTCCTTCCATTTTGATTGTAGTAGATCAGTATAAAAAGTGTCGTGCTCCTCTTTACCTCCGTTGTTTCCCCAGTTCTGTTTGAAAGCCCTCAGACTTGCCCTTTGAGTCATAAAGATTCGGTCATTAAAGTTCATTTTGGTGCTTTGGGGGCTTCCCTGGTGGCTCAGGCGATAGAGAATCCTCCTGCCATGCAGGAGACCCTGGTTTGACCCCTGGGTTGGGGAGATCCCCTGGAGAAGGGAATGGCTACCCACTCCAGTATTCTTGCCTGGAGAGTTCCATGGACAGAAGGTCCCGGCAGGCTACAGTCTATGGGGTCACAAAGAGTCAGACATAATTGAGCAAATAACACTTTTCACTTTTGGTGCTTTTACAAAAGAGTTAAAGGAAACTTCGGAGAAAACCTAGTGGAGTATCTAAGGAAGAATCAGCTAAGTTATACAGTGATCTTCTAAGACGGTAAGGAGAAAGGAGAGAAAGGCAAGGAAATTCAGATATAATTGCTCTTGTGGCCAGTGTCTTATTTAGCTAAGAAGGCACACCTTGTTTTTTAGGTTTGTATCATTTAAGAAATGTTCGAGAGGATTATTCATTTATATTCAAAATTTTTTCCTGAGCATCGGCTATGAATATATGTGCCTGATGTTGATTCTTTTTAACTGATTTTTGTTGATGCTCATTTATGCTGGTCTCATTAAAGCAGAGTATTCCATTTGAAACTGATTTAAATGTTCCCCTTAGATGTTTGATTTACAAATTTTCTTAGGCTTCAATTTCAGATGATGGTTAATACATCTGATAATTTATTTAATCTTTCCTGGAACTTCATGAGGTAGAAATGATTCTCATTGTTTTAATAGAACTAACAATTAAAAAATAATTAAATTTAATAAATCAAAAGAAAAGTGGTTAAAACCCTTTTCTAGGATAATGTGCATAGTCATCAGCAGTCAGTATTTTGCCCACATTATTGGATGCAATCTTTTCTCATTCTTTTTCTACAGTATTGCATTTGAGTGGAACTTGGCCTCTGTTTTTTCTTGAGTTCCTCTGTTTCTATGAGATTGAGGTTTACCTGTGTGGAAAAGCCTCTACTCTTCCACCAAGAGATAGCCATATAGTAGAGAGTCTCCATACCTTTCTCTCCTCTGGGGAGGCAGGCACAGGACACCATTGCTAACTAGGAATAATGAAACAACAGTGCTGCTGTCACTCACCAGCAGCTTAGAGCCTGAAATTAAATGTGTCAGGTTGAAGGTAACAAGAAATCAGGATATAAGAACAGAGTAGAAACATTTGCAAGGAGCAGAGAATTCAAGTGATTTAGGAAAAACTGGAAAACAAAAGGAAATGGAGTTTTGCCAGTATGTGAAACCAAATAAATCACTTGGAAACAACTGTATTGAAAGGAATATGCAAGTAGAGTGAGGCTGAATTGAATATATACTTGCCTCTCTGTGGTCTTTCTGTTTTTCTCTCCGAAGAACTAAGGCATTGCTATTAGAGTGTAGCTCTGCGTGGATCCTGGGTTTTCCCTTGACTTAGGACCGTTCCGACACCCTCATAGGCATCCACGTGAGGAGGCCACGTGGCTGGACTGGATAACAATGGTAGTCTTCAGCTAAATGAATGACAGAATGGTGGACTAGCTCAGGATGTAATAGTAACTGGTGTTCTGCTTTAGAAAGGAAGAACTAAGATCCTCTGAGATTCCTTGTCCTTCTAAACTGAGAGCTGTTGCAACTGGCATGAAGCTCTTTTAGTCCATTACTTGATAGCATATTTTCACTTTTTTGTGTATAGGTTAATAGTTAAATAGTTACAAAACTCTGCACATAAATTACTTTTCTCTCGCATATAATAAAAAACATTTGGGATCCATGCCAAACTTTTTATCACTATGCAAGAAATATGAATCTGTGAACATGAAATTACTTGTCAGATTATCCAGGACAAAACTCTTGAAATTGAGAATGTCATCACATTTTTATTGATTTTTAAAACTACCTTCACCTTAAAAACTATGAAGTGGAGTCATAATATTTTGCTCTTATTATGAACAAAGAGAACTTGAATTGCAGAGAATATGTGCCTTCTTCATTAGGATGATTTTAGTGTCACTGAAGAATGAACTATATTGGATTAACAAATGAATTGAATGAGATTTCTCAAAAAAGTGTGATAATATAGGCTATGCTTCCAAGATCCTTATTGGTTCTTCATTCTATTGTCTATTGTATTACTTTATATCTCAGCTTTGCCTTATTTATAAACTGTCTAAGCATGCCTGTCATGTCCTTAAGAGGTGGATAGTGATAGCAACACTTAATGGTTTTCCTGGAATGATGGATGGGAAACTATATGACATTTACGTTTGCATTTCTTTAGTCTTTGTGCTTTGAAGAAAACCCTGTTTAGTTGAATTGGGTTTTTCCCTAGGAATTTTTAGAAATTATTATCTAAGACCATGATTTGTTCCAGGGCTTCCCCCAGGTGACACTAGTGGTAAAGAACAGGCCTGCCAAAATGCAGCAGAAGTAAAGAGATGTGGGTTCTATCCCTGGGTTGGGCAGACCTCCTGGAAGAAAGTACAGCAACCCATTCCAGTATTTTGCCTGGAGAATCCCTTAGACAGAGGAGCCTGGCAGGCCCTAGTCCATAGGATCACAAAAGGCTGGACACAATTGAAGTGACTTATCACGCACACATGCATGATTCATTCATCTGTATTACAAAGGCCATAACATACATAGGACTATCCATTTTTGTAAATTGTTATTATAGCACCCAGTTATAAATGAAGA